GAGTAGGCTCCAGGATGTACATGTTTATAGAGGGGCAACTGATATATCGGATCATTATTTAGTTGTAGCTACAGTTAGAGTAAGAGGTAGATGGGACAAGAGGAAGGTGGCAACAAGTAGGAGGGAAGTGAAAGTGTATAAACTAAGAGGAGGAAGTTCGGGTGAAATATAAGCGACTATTGGCAGAAAGATGGGCTAGTGTAAAGATGGGTAGTGGGGGAGGTTGAAGAGGGTTGGATAAGTTTTAAAAATGCAGTATTAGAATGTGGGGCAGAAGTTTGTGGTGATAGGAGGGTGGGAGGCAGGAGGAAAGAGGAGTGATTGGTGGAATGATGAAGTAAAGGGTGTGATAAGAGAAAAAGTTAGCTTATGAGAGGTTTTTACAAAGCAGAAGTGTTATAAGAAGAGCAGAGTATATGGAGAGTAAAAGAAAGGTGAAGAGTGGTGAGACAGTGCAAAAGGAGAGCAGATGATAGACTGGGAGAGGCACTGTCAAGAAATTTTAATGAAAATAAGAAAAAAAAATTTGGAGCGAGTTTAAAAAAGTTAAGAAAGCCTAGGGAAAGTATGGATTTGTCAGTTAAAAACAGAGTAGGGGAGTTAGTAGATGGGGAGAGGGAGGTATTAGATAGATGGCGAGAATATTTTGAGGAACTTTTAAATGTTGAGGGAGAAAGGGAGGTGGTAATTTCATGCACTGGTCAGGGAGGTATACCATCTTCTAGGAGTGAAGAAGAGCAGAATGTAAGTGTGGGGGAGGTACGTGAGGCATTACGTAGAATGAAAGGGGTTAAAGCAGCTGGAACTGATGGAATCATGACAGAAATGTTTAAAGCAGGGGGGGATATAGTGTTGGAGTGGTTGGTACTTTTGTTTAATAAATGTACGAAAGAGGGGAAGGTACCTAGGGATTGGCGGAGAGCATGTATAGTTCCTTTATATAAAGGGAAGGGGGGAGAAAAGAGATGGTAAAAATTATAGAGGAATAAGTTTACTGAGTATACCAGGAAAAGTGTACGGTAGGGTTATTATTGAAAGAATTAGAGGCAAGACAGAATGTAGGATTGCGGATGAGCAAGGAGGTTTCAGAGTGGGTAGGGGAAGTGTAGATCAAGTGTTTACATTGAAGCATATATGTGAACAGTATTTAGATAAAGGTAGGGAAGTTTTTATTGCATTTATAGATTTAGAAAAGGCATATGATAGTGGATAGGGGAGCAATGTGGCAGATGTTGCAAGTACAGTGGACCCCCGCATAACGATTACTTCCGAATGCGACCAATTATGTAAGTGTATTTATGTAGGTGCGTTTGTACGTGTATGTTTGGGGGTCTGAAATGGACTAATCTACTTCACAATATTTCTTATGGGAACAAATTCGGTCAGTACTGGCACCTGAACATACTTCTGGAGTGAAAAAATATCGTTAACCGGGGGTCCACTGTATATGGAATAGGTGGTAAGTTACTAAATGCTGTAAAGAGTTTTTATGAGGATAGTGAGGCTCAGGTTAGGGTGTGTAGAAGAGAGGGAGACTACTTCCCGGTAAAAGTAGGTCTTAGACAGGGATGTGTAATGTCAGCATGGTTGTTTAATATATTTATAGATGGGGTTGTAAAAGAATTAAATGCTAGGGCGTTTGGGAGAAGGATGGGATTAAATTATGGGGAATCAAATGCAAAATGGGAATTGACAGTTACTTTTTGCTGATGATACTGTGCTTATGGGAGATTCTAAAGAAAAATTGTGAAGGTTAGTGGATGAGTTTGGGAGTGTTGTGTTAAGATAGAAAGTTGAAAGTGAACATAGAAAAGAGTAAGGTGATGAGGGTATCAAATGATTTAGATAAAGAAAAATTGGCTATCAGATTGGGGAGGAGTAGTATGGAAGAAGTGAATGTTTTCAGATACTTGGGAGTTGACATGTTGGCGGATGGATTTATGAAGGATGAGGTTAATCATAGAATTGATGATGGAAAAAAGGTGAGTGGTGCATTGAGGTATATGTGGAGTCAAAAAACGTTATCTATGGAGGCAAAGAAGGGAATGTATGAAAGTATAGTAGTACCAACACTCTTATATGGGTGTGAAGCTTGGGTTGTGAATGCAGCAGCGAGGAGGCAGTGATGTCCTGTTTAAGGGCAATGTGTGGTGTAAATATTATGCAGAAAATTCGGAGTGTGGAAATTAGGAGGTGTGGAGTTAATAAAAGTATTAGTCAGAGGGCTGAAGAGGGGTTGTTGAGGTGGTTCTGTCATTTAGAGAATGGATCAAAGTAGAATGACATGGAGAGCATTTAAATCTGTAGGATAAGGAAGGCGGGGTAAGGGTCGTCCTCGAAAAGGTTGGAAGGAAGGGGTAAGGGAGGTTTTGTGGGCGAGGGGCTTGGACTTCCAGCAGGCGTGCATGAGCGTGTTGGATAGGAGTGAATGGAGACGAATGGTATTTGGGACCTGACGATCTGTTGGAGTGTGAGCAGGGTAATATTTAGTGAAGGGATTCAGGGAAACTGGTTATTTTTATATAGCCGGACTTGAGTCCTGGAAATGGGAAGTACAATGCCTGCACTCGAAAGGAGGGGTTCAGGATATTAGCAGTTTGGAGGGATATGTTGTGTATCTTTATACGTCTATGCTTCTAAACTGTTGCGTTCTGAGCACCTCTGCAAAAACAGTGATTGTGAGAGTGAGGTGAAAGTGTTGAATGATGATGAAAGTATTTTCTTTTTGGGGATTTTCTTTCTTTTTGGGTCACCCTGCCTCGGTGGGAGACAGCCGACTTGTTGACAAAACAAAAATTAAAATATTGCATTAGTCTGCATAACAGTAAACTTTCTATCTTTTGTTTGAATAAAAATTCCAAAGAGAAAGCACGAGTAATATCAGAGGGGCCTGGAGGCATGACTGATGAGCAAAGAAAATGTTATTTTAGAGCCAAGAATGTCTGCATTGTTCATTCTGGACCCTATTTTGAAATTGGCATATTTTTTAATTTGTGTGAAATTGACCAAATTGCCAATTTCTGACCACTTTATTGGGTAGTTGAAATTGGTAAAGGGGCAGTTTCTTGCACTTGATCAATAGAATAAAAGGAGTTCTAAAGAAATAGTAGAGTTTTGTCAACTGGAACAGTGGAATTAGCTGAAAATAGGACTCAAAGTAGGCGAAATCGCCGAGGCCACTAACTTCGTGAGAGCATAATTCTGTATCTTTTCCATCAGATTTCGTACTTTTGGTGTCATTACCATCGGGAAAGATTCTCTATCATTTTTTTTTTTTTTTTTTTTTTTTTTTTTTTTTTTTTTTTTGAGACGCCTCAGGATTTGGTGTTTCGACAGGCAAAGTGTTAACACCTTAACTGTCCAAACATAATTTACATTCTCTCACCCAGCACTCAAATATTTTGAAAAATAAAAAAAAAAAATATTTTTTTAATGTAAAAATTCTAGTCTGTAGTTAGAGATATAAGGGCACAAAGTCAGCACTTGTCTGGTGGCAGCATGAAGCGCTGCCACTTGATGTGTTGCCGATATACCTTTTTATCTTATATATATACAGTGGACCCCCGCTTAACGATCACTTCCCAATGCGACCAATTATGTAAGTGTATTTATGTAAGTGCGTTTGTACGTGTATGTTTAGGGGTCTGAAATGGACTAATCTACTTCACAATATTCCTTATGGGAACAAGTTCGGTCAGTACCGGCCCTGAACTTTCATCTGGAATGAAAAAAAATCTTTAAACCGGGGGTCCACGTATAATTTTATATACTTTTCCATCTGACTTACGACCAAGTTTGGGTTTCCGCCCAAAACCGTCTTAAGTCGAACCTTATTTACTGAGTATAAAAATTTAACATTTTCTGGGGACCCGCCATATTATTTATTTAAATTTAGTCCCAGAGTATATAGCATTTTAATGTTAAATTTTTAAAGGGGTTTTTTATATATATTAGTCAATTCTGATAGATAAATAAGCCGTAGAGTTGAATAATGTAATAATGAATGTTTTTTTCCTGCCCCTCTGGAGCGGGAAAAACTGCCAGTGTTTCCCCGAAAGGTTCCTGAAGGCTGGAAGTCTACGGAAAGTCCGCCTAAATGTTTTATGATGCCAAATATTTTTTATTAGTTAGAAAAAAAAAATGCCAAAAAAAAATATAAAAAAAGAGGAAAAAATTCCCAAAAAAAATACGGGGGGAGAGCAAACGCCTAGCACATCGCCGTCACCACACCTGATATAAATGACTATGATTTCTTGTACAGAAGTTGTAAAACATTGATTCTTGTATCATTGTGTTGCCAAAGAGTTAAGCTATTTTTCTATATGAATAACTCAATTTCCATAATTTTTTTAATAAAAATTTTGCTAGTGCACCGTGCACCTCATACCACCCCTCGAGTTGCTCACGAACCATCTGATATTACACACGATCACTGTCGACAATCACATTATAGCACTTTGTCTGGATTTTTTAAGTTATCCTAGGTAATTTACAAAATGTGGAATTATTTATGTACGTGTTCCTTTGAGAAATGGATAGATAGCCGGAGATAGCCACTAGCCCCCAGGCAGCCTGCCGAAATTACAGTTCCAGACTTTTCTTTTTACTTAGGGCACAAGTTATAGGACATTCTGGGAAGATGACACTTTTCCCTTAGAAGGGAAGTATTAATATGACAAGACATCACTGAATCCTTGGAGTTTGCCATGCTGTTTGCTCGATTGAACTGGTGCTCCCCCAAGGTACTAAATGGTCCCAGATTTTTTAATACAGCACACACCGAGGGTTAAGACATGTTCTATACTGACCAGGCATCTTAGGCCAGTCGTGCCAAATTTGGAGGCAGGGAAAAAAACATAGATCTATGTTTGGAGCGCTAGTGGTAAGAACGTAGATCTACATTTGGATAGCTAAGAGGTAAATGGCTAAAAAGGTACAGTAGTGAGACTTGGTCTTCAGCAACTGACCATTAAAATTTATTTTATTTTTCTCAAATGCAGGAACCAGGTACTGAAGAGGAAATTAAGGCATTTGCTCAAGGTTATGGAGTAAAGTTTGACATGTTTTCCAAAGTCAAGGTAAATGGGAATGATGCTCACCCTCTGTGGACCTTCCTAAAATCAAAGCAGGGAGGAACACTTGGGAATTTTATCAAATGGAATTTCACAAAATTTCTGATTGACAAATCCGGAAACCCAGTGGCTCGCTATTCTCCTCAGACCAACCCAATTGTAAGTTTTATTTTTTTTCTGCTGCTGTTACTACAAAATTGCATTTGTATATCAGTGAGGTAAAAAGGAATTAGTTAAAAAAAAAAATTACTAGCCTTTTGTTTGTGTATTACAGGTCGTTCATTAATTTGCCTCTTTCCTATTATACAATATCGCATTTGTAGCTCACATTTGCAGTATGAATGTTTAAGAAAGTAATTTTGCAAGTTTTCATTTAATTTTATTTCAAAATGTTAGTGTTCTTTATGCATTGCAAATGTTGTATAAATAAGAAATATTTTTAATGTCTATTTTGAATAAAAAAAAAACTTTTATCTCAACAGCCTGCTATTGAAAAAGATCTTGAATCCTATCTGTAAGCCAGCAGTATGGATCATGGTGCATGGTGTGAGGAAGAACCAGAGTTCATGCAGGGATACTCTGATATTCTACATGCCTTCAAATTATAAGATACAGCAAAGAGGATAAGAAGGGTTACTATGAAGGTTTACAGGTAAACTTGTATACAACACTTGTAGACTGGATGCTACTGCTCTTGGTCTTTCCTTGCTGTCTTATTTTGCATCCTAGAACCATTGTTCCTGAAAGTATTGTATGCTTATGGACCATAAGAATTTTTTGATGGAATGTTAACAACACAAGTATAGTGATTTATTTTTTTTGTAAGTTATCTAGTCGTTTGACTTCAGGTATTTATTGATAATATGCATTTATTGTTTATACTTAAAAAAAAAAGTTGCTACTTCAGTTACCATTTGTAAAGCCTCAATAAACAATCAAAAAAAACAACTTAAGGTTTAATTTGTGGCTTCCTCTTGGCTTATCCCAGTTTTATGTTGCCATACACCTTGTAAATTAGAAAGCTGGCAAAATATGGTGGAATTAAATGCCAGTTGTGAAATGATTAAGCAATTTGACTGGTAGTGTATTAAGTATTCTGTTAATAATGGTACCTGGAACATGTTAACACTGAAGTAAATTTTTATTTTTATTCCACTAAGACTGACAAATTGGTAGTTAGCTTCTAATAAACACAAAATAATATTGCCCTTTAACATAAACTCCAGTGAGGGATGGTGAGGCAACACAGGACAGCTAAAATTAGGTAACTGATTTAACTAAAGTAACAGCTATTTGGGAGAAAGGTTGTCATGAAGCTGGTGATGGGCTCTTGATCACTAGAATTAGACCTGCCTTTCCCAAACTAATTTAATTTGATGACATTCCTAGTCCCCCAGGTTTTCTGTAGCCCCCTTGTAAAAGATTGTGCTCTTCATGAATATAAGGGGGTAAAAAAAGAAAATGCTAAACCTGCAGAGATCTTTCAGTGCTTGAAGAATGGGAGGAAACTTAAAATTTAATGGAAGAAATGGTAGCTCCAATTTCTTTAATGAAGAGCCAATTACCAGCATTCGCCCCATCCTGACAGCGGATCACCTTTACAAAGTGACAAGGCTAGAATATTTTGCCTATTGACGGGGCCTTTTCTCTTGGAGGAATGACTTTCAAGGTACTTGTCTGAGTAAATTTGCACACTTGACCAGTATTATGGATATGGAATGTGAAAATTGTATAGTTTTATTAGCTTGTGATTTTTCTGCAAAAAGTACAGTAGCAAGTGGTAGTAGGTTGGTAGACAGCAACCACCCAGGGAGGTACTACCGTCCTGCCAAGTGAGTGTGAAACGAAAGCCTGTAATTGTTTTACATGATGGTAGGATTGCTGGTGTTTTTTGTCGTCTCATAAATATGCAAGATTACAGGTACATCTTGCTACTTCTACTTAAACTTAGGTCACACTACACATACATGTACATGTTTATTTATATACACACTCATCTGAGTTTTCTTTGATTTTATCTTAATAGTTCTTGGTCTAATTACTTTTCCTTTTATATCCATGGGGAAGTGGAATAAGAATCTTTCCTCCGTAAGCCATGCGTGTTGTAAAAGTCAACTAAAATGCCGGGAACAATGGGCTAGTAACCCCTTTTCCTGTAATAATTACTAAAAAGAATAAGAAAATCGTCAAAGTGGGAAGTCTGAATTTGTGTGGATGTTATGCAAATGATAAGAAAGAGATGATTGTGGATGTTATGAATGAGAAGAAGCTGGATGTCCTGGCTTAAAGTGAAACAAAGCTGAAGGGGGTGAGAGAGTTTCAGTGGAGAGGAATAAATGGGATTAGGTCAGGGGTTTCAAATAGTTTGAGCTAAAAAAGGAGTAGCATTAATGTTGAAGGATAAGGTATGGCAGGAAAAGAGGGACTACAAATGGATTAATTCAAGGATTATGTTGAGTAAAATAAAGGTTGGATGTGAAAAGTGGGTTATAGTAAGCGTGTATGCACCTGGAGAAGAAAGAAGTGTAGAGGAGAGAGAGATTTTGGGAAATGTTGAGTGAATGCGTGGGGAGTTTTGAATCAAGTGTGAGAGTAATGGTAGTTGGGGATTTCAATGCAAAGTGGGTAAAATGTTATGGAGGGAGTAGTAGGTAAATTTGGGGTGCCAGGGGTAAATGTAAATGGGGAGCCTTTAATTGAGCTGTGTAGAAAGAGATTTGGTAATAAGTAATACATATTTTATGAAAAAGAGGATAAATAAATATACAAGGTACGATGTAGCACGTAATGAAAGTAGTTTGTTAGATTATGTATTGGTGGATAAAAGGTTGATGGGTAGGCTCCAGGATGTACATGTTTATAGAGGGGCAACTGATATATCGGATCATTATTTAGTTGTAGCTACAGTTAGAGTAAGAGGTAGATGGGAAAAGAGGAAGGTGGCAACAACAAGTAAGAGGGAGGTGAAAGTGTATAAACTAAGGGAGGAGGAAGTTCGGGGGAGATATAAGCGACTGTTGGCAGAAAGGTGGGCTAGTGCAAAGATGAGTAGTGGGGGGGTTGAAGAGGGTTGGAATAGTTTTAAAAATGCAGTATTAGAATGTGGGGCAGAAGTTTGTGGTTATAGGAGGGTGTGGGCAGGTGGAAAGAGGAGTGATTGGTGGAATGATGAAGTAAAGGGTGTGATAAAGAGAAAAGTTAGCTTATGAGAGGTTTTTACAAAGCAGAAGTGTTATAAGAAAAGCAGAGTATATGGACAGTAAAAGAAAGGTGAAGAGAGTGGTGAGAGAGTGCAAAAGGAGAGCAGATGATAGTGGGAGAGGCACTGTCAAGAAATTTTAATGAAAATAAGAAAAAATTTTGGAGTGAGTTTAACAAGATAAGAAAGCCTAGGGAAAGTATGGATTTGTCAGTTAAAAACAGTAGGGGAATTAGTAGATGGGGAGAGGGAGGTATTAGGTAGATGGCGAGAATATTTTGAGGAACTTTTAAATGTTGAAGAAAGGGAGGCGGTAATTTCATGCACTGGCCAGGGAGGTATACCATCTTTTAGGAGTGAAGAAGAACAGAATGTAAGTGTGGGGGAGGTATGTGAGGCATTACATAGAATGAAAGGAGGTAAAGCAGCTGGAACTGACGGGATCATGACAGAAATGTTAAAAGCAGGGTGGGATATAGTGTTGGAGTGGTTGGTACTTTTGTTTAATAAATGTATGAAAGAGGGGAAGGTACCTAGGGATTGGCGGAGAGCATGTATAGTCCCTTTATATAAAGGGAAAGGGGACAAAAGAGATTGTAAAAATTATAGAGGAATAAGTTTGAGTATACCAGGAAAAGTGTATAGTAGGGTTATTGAAAGAATTAGAGGAAAGACAGAATGTAGGATTGCGGATGAGCAAGGAGGTTTCAGAGTGGGTAGGGGATGTGTAGATCAAGTGTTTACATTGAAGCATATATGTGAACAGTATTTAGATAAAGGTAGGGAAGTTTTTATTGCATTTATGGATTTAGAAAAGGCATATGATAGTGGATAGGGGAGCAATGTGGCAGATGTTGCAAGTATTTGGAATATGTGGTAAGTTACTAAATGCTGTAAAGAGTTTTTATGAGGATAGTGAGGCTCAGGTTAGGGTGTGTAGAAGAGAGGGAGACTACTTCCCGGTAAAAGTAGGTCTTAGACAGGGATGTGTAATGTCACCATGGTTGTTTAATATATTTATAGATGGGGTTGTAAAAGAAGTAAATGCTAGGGTGTTCGGGAGAGGGGTGGGATTAAATTATGGGGAATCAAATACAAAATGGGAATTAACAGTTACTTTTTGCTGATGATACTGTGCTAATGGGAGATTCTAAGAAAAATTGCAAAGGTTAGTGGGATGAGTTTGGGAGTGTGTGTAAAGGTAGAAAGTTGAAAGTGAACATAGAAAAGAGTAAGGTGATGAGGTATCAAATGATTTTAGATAAAGAAAAATTGGATATCAAACTGGGGAGGAGGAGTATGGAAGAAGTGAATGTTTTCAGATATTTGGGAGTTGACGTGTCGGCGGATGGATTTATGAAGGATGAGGTTAATCATAGAATTGATGAGGGAAAAAAGGTGAGTGGTGCATTGAGGTATATGTGGAGTAAAAAAACGTTATCTATGGAGGCAAAGAAGGGAATGTATGAAAGTATAGTAGTACCAACACACTTACATGGGTGTGAAGCTTGGGTGGTAAATGCAGCAGCGAGGAGACGGTTGGAGGTAGTGGAGATGTCCTGTTTAAGGGCAATGTGTGGTGTAAATATGCAGAAAATTCGGAGTGTGGAAATTAGGAAAAGGTGTGGAGTTAATAAAAGTATTAGAGGGCAGAAGAGGGGTTGTTGAGGTGGTTGGTCATTTAGAGAGAATGGATCAAAGTAGAATGACATGGAAAGCATATAAATCTATAGGGGAAGGAAAGAGGGGTAGGGGTCGTCCTCGAAAGGGTTGGAAAGAGGGGGTAAAGGAGGTTTTGTGGGCAAAGGGGCTTGGACTTCCAGCAAGCGTGTGTGAGCATGTTAGATAGGAGTGAATGGAGACGAATGGTACTTGGGACCTGACGATCTGTTGGAGTGTGAGCAGGGTAATATTTAGTGAAGGGATTCAGGGAAACCGGTTATTTTCATATAGTCGGACTTGAGTCCTGGAAATGGGAAGTACAATGCCTGCACTTTAAAGGAGGGGTTTGGGATATTGGCAGTTTGGAGGGATATGTTATGTATCTTTATACGTATATGCTTCTAAACTGTTGTATTCTGAGCACCTCTGCAAAAACAATGATAATGTGTGAGTGTGGTGAAAGTGTTGAATGATGATGAAAGTATTTTCTTTTTGGGGTTTTCTTTCTTTTTTGGGTCACCCTGCCTCGGTGGGAGACGGCCAACTTGTTGAAAAAAAAAAATATACATAATATATATAATTCTCTCTCTCTCTCTATCTCTCTCTATCTCTCTATCTCTCTCTCTCTGTCTCTCTTCTGTCTCTCTATCTCTATCTCTCTATATATCTCTGTCTATCTCTTATCTCTTCTATCTCTATCTCTCTCTATCTCTATCTCTCTCTATCTTTCTCTGTCTCTGTCTCTCTCTGTGTCTGTGTCTGTGTGTCTGTCTGTCTGTCTGTCTGTCTCTGTCTCAGCATATAGCAGGCACTTTCCTCAAGGAAGGTGCCCTGAGCTTTTGATACAAAGTGAACTTGTCCTCTTCTTGGATCAGGCCTAATTGCCTCCCATTCCTCATGCACTTTGACCTGTGGGGTAAGTTCTTTCTTTTGATTATTATATTAGCAGGTAATTGTTTCAACATGCAGCAACCATGAATTCCTAAATTTCCTAACTATATTGTGTTGCTTAAAAGTATACATTCAATGTAAAGCTGTATTAGTCAAGCCCCTCAAGGGAGGTTCCTTCATGCTGGTGAGGGGCTTT